GAATAAAATGTTTATAACGGCTGATGGATGAACAAACGAACTAACAGGGGATAAGATATGAGACACCTATATGATTCTGAATGGATGTGGGTAATTCATAGGAGAGTCTCCTAAGGAGACCATGCATTATCACATACTATGAAGACACCACATCGGAATACGAGTATTACCTGTTCAGACTGTGGCTGACGAAATTCTCGTTGTCCTGTATGTTCACGATGAGCCACCGTTTCTCACACCGAGCTTTGGCAATGACCTCAGCAAAGGGCAGAGGCGAAGACAGGCCCTTGGGAAGGTTAAAAAGATTCATAAACGCTGAAGAAGGGAATCCGTCAACTCGTGAGTGAAATGCTCGCAAATCGCCCCTGTCAATCTCAACTACTCTTACCCTTTTCGCCGTCATTGACCGCAGATGATTTCTGCTCATCATCAACCTCCTCCTCGTCTTCTTCCTCTTCAAAGTAAAACTCCTCGTCCTCCTCCTGATCCTCACTCATGTGCGTATCACCATCATTGGAGCTCCCTCCTCTACCACTCGTAGACCCCATTCTAACGTAACTGCTCAGCTACAAATCATAATCCCACTCCTGCCAACACCTACCTTATGTTTCTTCTCTCGGAACCCGGTGCACTCCCCGGCTGCGATCCTGCTGGTGACGCCAGAAGGGTGTCACGGAATGCCGGGATAGCCGCTCGGACATCTAACACACCCCATCCACTTTCCACTCGAATACCATCATCTATCCTACTTTCCTCGGGCACAGCAGCTCCTCCTACTCCAACATCGAAATACAAGGAGGCAGCCCGATCCAAATTTCCATCAGCCATCTCAATGTACTGCTTAGCTTCAGCCGCTGTAGGACAACCAGTGAGGCCCATAAACGACGCCACTGTGTCATCCACATTTGCCGAGCCGCTCGATCCACCACCACTCGACATGTATTCGAATTCAACTACGCATTCAGTTTCGAAATCAACCAATAATATTCAGGGCTTAGGACGGATGCATTGAAAATGCTATCAGATGTAAACATCCGAAGTGATTGTTCATTAACAGCACAGGATACAACCCGGATTCCCATAGCATTTAGTCGTATCCTACTGGGACCAACAGGAGTATGACCTACGGGCTGCCGGTACTCCTTATCAACACAACAGATACAAAGTCGTCGGAAGCACACAAACGCACAACGCGAATAACTTAACGATAACTTCCGAAACGACTTTCCGCGATACGATGTGCTACCACCACACAGACCATATGGCAGCACTGTTAATTATAATACAGTATCGATAGCTCTCGACAACGGACTCGTATACAGGATACAGTCCAAGCGATTAGCCAAATCAACATCCACGTGGAAAACAATGGGTGATCGTAGGACAGCTCAAGAACACACTAGATCTGCGTTACTAGTAGCATTCGAGCCAGTCCATGTCTAGACCACAACATTACTCGTCTCACTGATTGAGTAGTGTTATTGTATAGGCACTTCGCCTGGCTAGGGCGAGGAAATCCAACGCGACCAGAATGGCCGACAGAGGGATGGAACTAGAGTTGGTGAAGACGTTTGAATAATTGATTAAAGTCTTCGGACGGACGACCGGCACACATTCACAGTCGATGTGAGTGCCATAATCAGACCATCTGTGTAGGGTCCGATCGAATGGCAAGGGGATGCTGTATAGTCCCTTCCCATAAACCTCGTTTTGTAGCAAATAGTGGTGAAAGAATAGAAATAAAAGGTAGCATTCACCAATGCTCCTTCGAACGCCAACGAACACGCGGCGTAAAAACGTGTGATCAAAACAATGCACAGAAATAGAGTAAGACAGAAGAGCTCCTCGAATGGAGTCGCTCGTCTGACAGGAGACAAGAAAAGTAAGAGAACAAGAAAGAAATCATCATAGCTCAAGACCGTGCCTCAATGATGGAGTGGAGCTGGGTACAAGTGTACGATGTTGAACACAGAACGGATGGTAGTCATCGTACATGTAAACTCCTCTATCGAAGATCGATTGGACATCAGCCAGCATATGAGGAATGGTATACAGATGCTCACGTATAGCCCTTCCACGGTCTGGTAACAGATTCAGGGATCGAGAAGCAAATAATCAAGGCTGCAGACAGTTGACTCGGACATAGTGGACTTGCAATGTCTGATGTACTCAGGGGACTTAACGCTTTCCGGAATGTGGACATAATCATTGGCAGAAGAGGCGGATGACGGCTGAGACGATTTAGCCACTCTGTAAATGGCCCAAATGACCAATTGAACGGCACAGAGAACCTGAGTGACGACAATGCACAACGTCAGAGCAGTAACCGGGCTTACGGCGCCACTGCCATTAGGTACGGCTACGTGAGTATCATGGGACGCCAGGCCATACCCAAACCATACCGTTGCGCTTACCATACCAGTGAGAGAATATAACGGAGGCATGCACGAGGAGTCCTTCGTCTCTGAGCAAGAGGCTATCAACCCCAGTGTTAACAGCGACTTACTTATAATAGTGGGAACTACCACCAGTGGAGCCGCGTACATACAGATGCTCACAATGACACAACAGTTACCCAGAGTGGCAACTATAGAGGGAGTCAGAGACGCTACAAACATCTGAAAAGAGCAAAATGCGGAGCCTAGAATTGAACCTTGGACCTATCTATCACCGTGACGATGTAGAGAGCCAACACTGTTCCGCATAGGGTAGAAGTCGACTTCTTGGTCTCCACGAATTTCAAAAACACCTGCGATTAAATACAAGTCCCCACGTTCAGCTCACACCGAAGTCACTTACACTCATGTAGAAAATTTGGAAAACCAGTGCGATGGAGTTAACGACCAAGATACATGTCCGCCCGGGGACCATAAGAGCATACGCCACCCACAGTAAGGAGAGTAAGGACGTCGTACAGTAGGGCATAGGTGAGAGGTTCCCCGTACTCTTCCTCCTCGACACCTCTATGAATGTCGGGATACAGGAGAGATACTGTATCACAGAGAGGACCGATCCGACCGTGCCCAGTATAGGCGCTATGGATTCCAATGACAACAGCTCCATGGTAGGTAACAAGGTCACACCAGTGAGGGCTTCCATAACTCCCCGATCACCCGAGGGAACAACAACAACAAGAGTTGCCTACAGAAATAAGTCCCATCTTGTAAGACATACACTGTTCTATGGAATTCCTAGTGACGATGCAACCAACTACACACGGATAGTGAAATCAATTTCCCCAACCCCCCGATCGATGCAACACAAAACACTGTCTCCAACTCGTCACTCGATCACTTAGCTATAGTGCTCATGCTATAATCATGAATACTAAAAAACCCAAGAGTAAACTGTAAAAAGGATGCACCGTCGAAGAAACGCAATGAATGTATCGACAACAGCACGATAATCTCGGTGGGATACCTAAACAAACTGTGTAGGAGGATAGTTACAAACAAAACAAAACTCTGTGAATGATCGGACTATGACTGTTTTATACTAACCAAAATTTCGATCTTAAAAATACCAATAGCCGATTCCAAACAACTTATACGTGGAATTATTACACGGAGCATCACCTCCCAACAGCTTGGACACGAACCTCCCGATGAGTAGTTAATCAACCAAAACTAGAGAAGGAATCAACTACAGGAGTAATAGTAGCAGATAATCCCGCTGGCCACAATAATCAGTCGCTTATATGAGCAGCTAATAAAGATCACTAAGATGAAGACAAAA